GTTTGTTTCCTACATTTGTAGTTTACAAATTATTCATTCTACTACAACCTCACTTATGATTTTTTTTTGGTTAAATCATTTATCGGTTTATTTAATCTTTACAAAACTCTAAAGGATTTTGGTTTGGTTGGCAGCCTAAGAATTCCACGATGGTGCCTTCTTTTAATTTTCGCTTAATTTTAATTAACTATGTGTAGATAATTAGTATTATTCAAGTTTAATTTCTTTTGAAGAATTAGTGAGGGCTCTCTCTCGTATAAGATACTTTTTTATTTTATGTTGATTGTACGAGGAACTATGTTTCTTTGCAAAAGCATAGCATGTCCATCCAGATCCATAGGGTCAATGCTAAATAACTTTCTCTCGACTCGAGGAGATAAACATAGAATTCAAGCAAACTGAAAATGCCTTTAATCTTGTTTAACGTTGTGAGGCTAGAAACAACATTGTTAACCTCTTAATTTGGTGTAGTTGATTGGGAACATCGATGATTTTCAGCTTAGAGACTGGAGGTCACTCATTCAAATTTCACCAATTACATGCAAATTATTCGTCATCAAGGTCACATGCACGGGTCAAAGGCTTGAACTTAATCGGTTCACAAGTATTTCATGAGCCTTCAAGTAACCAGTCTCTGCAATCATGCAAGAAAACGAAACAAAATGTTCCCCGGAGGATGACAAAGCCTTGTTTCATGCCTTTATTCTTGGAGTGGACTAAAATCTGTCGCCAGAAGGATGACTAGTTGGAGCCATCATCCTTCTTTGACTAGATCCGCGATTAGGTCCCGTGCACAACTATATCTTAATAATCATTGAACAGCCAAGCGACAAAACGAAAGATGATGAGTGTGCTCATCCTTGCTGATGCTAAAACGTAAGGCGTCGAACATCCTCTTTCAGTCAGCAACGCAAGATTAAAGTAGAGCAACTTGGCATTTCTTTCTTGCTGCAATAGTGTCCGTGGCTTTTCGGAGCCTCAACTAACCCGCACCAGATGAGGCAGACCCGGGCCGGGCCAATCCATGTGGGATTTCAGGCGTCGCGCGGTTTCCGAAAAGCAAGTGCATGGTGCGATGTGAATTCAAGTCGAACCCGAGTGTGGTGCCGTTATTCACTCGAGCCACATCATGTCAAAAGCGAGAGGTAAACCGACGCTACTCCAACTCGCAATTTACATATCGTAGTATTTACTCGCAATTATATAGTGCATCAGATCCGGACCCGGATCAGCCCACCGATGACAGGCACCTAAGTTTTGAGTATTCGAGATCGGTTTGGTACATAAAAAAAAATCTGGAGATTGCATGCCTTCGCATTTTTGTTTTCAATTATGTGATGAGACTAATGACTAATGAACAACGCGTTTGCTTCGAACATTGATGTACTCAACCGGCGGCAATAGGAACCACGAAGAAATCCAAACCTTAGGAAATGAGAAAACCAGCGAAACCCAAACGTAACATTGTCCACAACGTACGTACTCGAATATCCAAAAGTTGGATAAACAAGAGAAAAAACAAAGGCATAAATTAAGCATTATATTATTAACAGCAACAGCCTAGAGATAGTTGGGCTCGGCGACCGCCTCCATCCCCCGCCCTAAAACCCCGCCTACAAGCAAGCACCGATCCGAGCAGTATATAAGGCGAAACGGATCGAGTCGATAAGGCTCAGATAGATGGATGGATGCATAGCGTCGGATGATCCATACGTACCCACCAGTTATTCGAGAAAATCCCAAAAGAAAAGAAAGGGTTCAAGAGTGTCTGTCTTTCTTGTTTATCCCTTCTGTTCTGAGCTGTCTCTGGCTCCCTCGCCTTCGCATGCCACTGCAGAGGACAAGCCGGACGATCGTCCGAGAACGCCATCTTCTCCTCCGCTCTCGTTTCTTTCTTGAGGTACGTGTGATTCTCGTCAGCTGCTGTTCTTCATCTTGTTTTCTTTGAAGGGGATGGAATCATTGTGTGATTATCGAAGTGCGATGAATTGGTTCTTGTTTCCTGTTTCCGTCTGTTCTTTTCGGCACGAGACGGGTTCTTGTGTTTTTCTTCTCACGCTGGTTTTTGATTGATGACTGCTTTGTTTCGTCTCGGCCGTGAGAGCATTAGCTCGTCACCTGCATGCATTTCTTTAGGGTTGAGTTCTTGATTTTCCCTTAGGGTTGGAAAGATTTTCTTGCTTTTCTGCTGGAAGCCGCGATTTTTCCTCGCGTGCCCATCTTTTCTGTGCTCATGATTAAGAAGCCTGCTCGTTTAAAAGTTCATCCTAAGGACGATTAAGTAATATAGAGATTTGCTATACTTCATTAGTGTTGAAATCTGGATTGGAAGGCACAAATTTTACACGATTTTCAACCAAAAAAGAACATATTATTGAGGAAGAACGATTGATTCAGAGTGGTTTAGAGAAACAGATGCTTGAGCCCATCATAGAATAATCATAGAGTAAAAAGGTTTAATATTAACACCCTGTTCTTGGTTTTTCTGGAAGGCAACTTTGCATCACAGATCATTACCCAAAAAAAAACTTTGCATCACAGATGCTTCCCCATCATCTTAATAATACGTTTCAGACAAATTTGCAGGACGAGTATGAACTTCCTTTGGTTTTTTGGTATGTTAATTGTTGTTGATACTTTGAGCTTTGAACTTTCTCTGAGATCGCCGAGTTGGTGAGTCATGATCGTATTTGTCATAACCTCAAAATTGTATTGTGTCGGGTTTAGGTTTAATCATAACATGACACGTTCATTAATTGCATCGAATTTCAAAACTTAAACACAGAGACGTCATTTAGTACATTTAAAAAAAGACCTCTTAGGTGTCGTTTGGTATCATTCTTTTTTTGTTTTTATTTATACACTAGGATATTAATTATGTTGTTTTTTATTTATTTAAATTTTTATTTGGAATTATTTTCAAAAAACATTAATTTCCATATCTTATATGCTAGTTGTACTTTTTTGTTTATCTACAAGTTAAAATCTAACAAAAGCAACACATTTTTTAATGACGTTAAAAATTCACTCTAATTCTAAAATAAGAACAATATGATCGCTATCTATTATTTGAAAGAAAATTTTAATTATGAAAAGATAAACAAAACTATCAAAGGCACTAATAGGAATTTTCAATTTTGCATCGAAAATGTGGGTTTTTAGATAAAATAATCTTATGAGCCAAAATTTCCTTCCCTCGATATAAAAATAATTTTCATAAGAGCCACTACTCTGAATATGAAAAATAAAAAATTTCTACTTTCAAATAATAAGATTTGTTTCTTCAAATAACTTAGTTTATCCGGAATTATCCAAACATTGTTTTCATATGAAAAGGTATTTTCTTAAAAAATTAAAAAGTGGTTTCTATAATCATAACCCAATGGCCTCACCAAACTTGTCTTTAACATCTATCGACGTTTTTAAATGTATCTAAACCTATCATGTTGACAATTGCAATACATGAACCTCTTAAATTCAACGTATCTAAAGTTTCATAGGCATATTTATAAGGGGTGTACCCGCAAACTATACTTTTGTCATTCACGTGACATAAACAACAGAAAAACGCAGTAAGCACAGACGAAACAATCCATATATAAATCTCGAATCCTAACAAACGCTTAAGAAATTATTGTTCAAATTTGAAAGTAAGATGAAAAACTCTAAGGCAAATTTAGAAGATTGATTTATTAAGTTAATGCATAAAATTAACACGAGAAGAGCATGGAATTTTCATCCAAACTAAGCTATCTCAAAGGGCATTTTCAGAATATTTAAAGAAGGGAAAAACTTTAAAATTTTTAGTGCCCGAATTTTCCTCGCAGCAGTATTTATAAATCAACATTTTTTCAAAATCAAACTTGTTTTTGCTAAGCATATTTAACTACCTCAACAATATAAGAAAACTAGGTCAATAATATAGCCATTATCCATTTAATATAATCAGTCCAAATAGCTATAGAGAAATATAGGGAGAAGCCAGGGAGGCTTTGGCTGACACTCATCTTGTACACGTGTTCGGTCATGTCATCCGTCCAAGGCATCAGCTTTTTAAACTGCAATGCAACAAGGTGGTTATTTTTATTTTTCATTTTTTTATTTTTTATTTTTTCGGTCAAAATATTTTTCTTTATTTTCTTTGGGTTTTTAGATTTACCCACTTTTCTTATCTTTCCTCCTTTTTCTTTTTGCCTTTTGGGGATGAACATCTTAATTAATTTTTTTGGCCCAAAAATTAGAGAAGCAAGAAATAAAAATCCCCTTCCATAACCATAGCAACCTTGGCACACTAATGAGGGACAGACAGACACCACCAGTCACACACACCGCATCCTAATCCAAGTCAATTAATATTCCTCCTTCCTATGGAAAAAAAAATTCACCGTTGTGATCATAATTATCTTAATCAGCAAAAACTCTCCAAATTTACAACCGCTCGAGTGCTTATATCCTTGCTCTTAACCCCCGCCTAAATCCCACCAGGTACGGAGTACCTCGCACGTACAGTCACCATAGGCAACACGACGTCAGCCTCGCTTAGCCTTTTCTTTCTCCCCAATGTTTATCCATGTCAATTAATATTCCTCCCCCCATATGGAAAAATCGACGTTGCGATTTGGAATTTTGACATGCAAAACCGGGCTCGTAATGGAAAAGTGGGTCTCCCTCCAAAGGGAATTAAGATTAGCCCCGGTTACAATCGCGCAGATATTATCTGGATCCTCCGATTAAATCCCCATTAAATACAGAAAAAAAAAAAATCCTCGGCCGCACGATCATTCCAGGAGGGCAACCCGGCTGTAATCCCCATGGAATTTGAACTTGGCTTTCGAAGCACGCATAGGACTCACATTTTCCCCTCTCTCTCTTGTTTCTTTTTTTCCGCAGGTATTTTCCCCCGTTTTTTCTTTTTCCCGAGCCCGAAATTCAGAAATTACCGCAGTAAATACTGGATATTCCACGTCAGCACGTCTTAGCTGTCGCTACTCCTCCTCTCTCTCTCTCTCTCTCTCTCTCTCTCTTGGTCGGCCCATTAATTACGAAACAGCCACTGCTGCCACCCAATGCTCCCCATGCACTATCCCCGGCCAGATATTAACCCGAAAACGCGCCTCCCACCACCACCACCACCACCGTAAGTTTCCTCCCGTATAAATGCCGCCGCACCCATCGGAGCTCTCCGCCCCGCCTCCTTCCAAGCCCTCCGCCGCCGCCTCCTCCATGGGGGCCCCCTCCTATTCTTTACATCTCATCGGCGACTACATCGGCGTGGAGAGCTGCGTCGTCGACTACGAGGAGCCGCCCGATCCCGGCGCCCCCGCCGAGGCGGGCGGCGGCGGCGATTCCCTCCTCCGGGCCGAGCCCGAGCGCGGTCGGAGGCGGCGGCGGGAGCCGAAGGGGCGGAGGAGGGAGTATCCGCCGCCGATCCCGCTGCTGGCGCGCACGGGGAACCTGCACTCGCACATGCCGTGGGTCCTGAGGCGGCACTACACCAGCGACGGCCGGCTGGTCCTGACGGAGGAGAAGGTGCGGCACCACGAGTACTTCCGCGCCCGCCGTGCCAACGGCCGACTCACGCTCCAGCTCGTCCCCCTCGACGGCGACGCCCCTTACCTCCCGACGATCGCGGACGACGACAACGACGAGGAAGAGGAGGAGGAGGAGGAGGTTTTGAATCCCGAGGCTGCTGGGATAACAATCGCCGGCGATCTCGACAATCGCGACGGCGGCGGCGGCGACGACGACGATTGCCAGGGCGAGGCCGGCGATCGCGGAGGCGGCGGCGAGGAGGAGGAGGAGGAGGAGGAGGATCGCGCGAAGCTGGCGTCGTCGATCGCGGAGCTGACGGTGGAGAGCGGCGGCGGCGGAATGGGAGGGGGCAACGGGGCGGGGAAGTGCTCGAACTACACCGGCATTAGCGTGAGCCCGAGCTCTTCCTGCATATTCGGAGTGCCGGTGCCGGTGCCGGCTCTCCGGCCGGTGCATAGCTAGGAGTCCCGGGAAACAACATCCCCCCCCGCCCATCATCGCAAGCTCCCATGGATGGACGGACGGACGGATGGATGCAGGAATCCGAGTGAGTTAGGGAAGAGGAGGTTGGTGCAATCTAGGGTTACAGTAACAGGTGAGTCCCAGAAGAAGCATTAGGCCATTGTTCTCTCTCCTTCGGCTTTTCAATTTTTGATTTCGACCCATTCACCATCACCATCACCATCACCATCGCCATCGCCATCGCCATCCCCATCAACCTCTGTCGGTCGATCGATCCTTTGGAAATTTCCATTTTTTTTTTTAGGGGAGGGGGGGCCGCGTTCGGAAGAACAGGGAATCCGCCATCGCTCATCACCAGCGAGGTTTTTGTTTTCGTTTCGCTTTTTTTTTTTTTTTTTAGCGCTTTCCCCCTTTTTTTTCTCTCTTTTTCCGAGTTCTTCTAGAGGAGACGTCTATGATATTTTCCGCCTGCATTTCCTGCGATTTTCCGGAATCAGAAAAAAGAGAGGAAGAAAAAGGAATTAATGCGGGGGTGGGGTGGGGATAAAAGAGAGGAGGCATGAGCTGGACTTGCCTCGCTTGCGAATTTCAGCATCGGTAACGTTCGAACCGCCCCGTCCCCCTCCCCCCCTCGGCACGCGGATGTCGCATGCGCAACACCTGGTGCTTACGTGGAAAATGGTCGAGAATTAACAAAAGCGATCTATTTTTTTTCCTCTTTTTTTCTTTCCCCCTTCGCTTTTAGGTCGTGAGAGAGTTTGCACCGTTGTAGACGGGACAGTATACGTATGGAACAGGTATCTCCACGAGAATCTCGTGCGCCGAGTGATATCCACGAAGATGGTGTGAGGACCGCCGAAGATGGTGTGAGGACCGAGTGGGAAATTCCCAAAAGATTAGAGAGGTATTTGGTTTCGGACGTAAAAGATGCCCGTCTAAATCTAAGTTTCAAATTCCTTGGGGAGAGAAAAACCGCCGAAGAGATTTGATTGCACTGATTCGAGAAGTTTCGAAATTTAAGCGAGCAAACTTATCAACAAGGAGACCGTGGTGGATGTCGCCGGACCTTGCCCTGCTTGAAGACATTAGAAGGAATTAGGAGAATGTTGAGCTCTCTCGTTTTGAGTTTAAAGTACAACAGAATTTCGGAGAAGGAAATCTCCTGCCAATAACTTTTATTTACCAAAAGAAAAAAAGTGAAAGTAGATTTATGAGATTGGTATAATCTCCTTAGACTGTTGCTGAAATTATCGGAGTTAAAGCCAAAACTCCCGACAGAGGACAAGGAGGAAATTGTCCAATCAATTTCAAATATATTATACCCAAGCCAATTTAGTTCTAAATTTTTTAATTTTGCCAATTTAATCTTAAACCTCCATGCGAAATTTCAATATAATCCTTCTGATCAATTTTCATCAGAAATTTGTTAACATGGCAGTATGCCACGTAAGGCAGCTGGACATGACTGGACCGTCAAGCTAGCGATTTTCCGACGAAAATTGATAGGAATGACTACATTAGAATTTCGTTTAAAGATTTATAATAAAATTAGTAAAATTGAAAAATTTTGAATTGACATCCAGATTGAGGACATATTGAGTAATTTTCCCGATGACAAGTGGCTAGATAACGAAAGAATCAATTTCAATTTTCGTACAATCTTTATTACGAATAAGATTTAAAAAAAAAGAAGAAGAAGAAGAAGAAGATAGAACAGAATTGGTTTTTCTTATATCACTTCACGTTTTTTCTATGCATTTTCACTTATTATTTTCTTTCTTATATCTTTGTTCTACATATTAAATGATCTACAGAGAGAGAGAGATTTCCAAGAACTCTTACCTGATTCTCTGTTGCGAGGAGATCAGGGGGTTGAAGATGCGATGATGATGACGGACAGCTACTTCCCATTATCATTGGTACCATTCATCATGTTCGATACAATGTCAGAGCTTATGATTGGGGAGACCCTCTATTTCCCTCCCTGCAGATTCCGCCATTGATCCCGTTCAGAGCTTCTGCTTTGCTTGCACACTTGCACCTGCACCTGCGCTTGCACTTCGCTTCTGCTGCTGCTGCTGGCAGTGGCGCTGTGTCGTTTCTGGGTCCGCACACGCGCCCCCCCACACCGCCCCCACAACACCACACCCCCCCCCCTCTCTCTCTCTCTCTCTCTCTCTCTCTCTCTCTCTCCCCAAGAAGAAACTTTTCACCTGAACTCTCTCAGATTCCCTGAAACAGGTGTAAACACAGGTGTTTACCTTTCGTTTGACTCGCCTAGGGTTCGCAACAGTGTCTGATATCAGAACTCGATCCGCCATGGAGAAGATCGGTGCAGGTACCTACCTTTCTTCCCGGCCCATGTCGTTCGGTCTACTTTCAAGAAACTGTTGAACTGGTGATATCTCCTCCTCTCTGCAGAAAGGGAGAGGGGTTAAGGCTCGAATCACATCAACCTTCGAGGTTGGTCCGGAAGAGAAGTAATTATCGGGGAAACGATACTGCACTGTTGCATTAGGTTACGTGAAAAGACGTTGCACCGTTCTCAACCAAATTGGATTTATAAGATGAATTACATATCATGATTAAAAAAAAACACTTCGAAAGGAGAGAGAAAGGGAAATGTAATTATGAAATCTCTTTACTCCAATATCTGAACATGGGTTCGCTATAAAAGTTAGTTGTCCGATAATCTCTTTCTCAATGTATTTATTGAACACTTATTTGTTGAACATTTATTCTGATTACATTTTCCATGTAAAAATAAGCCTAATACCCTAAGAAAATCTCAAGCTTTAGCTCTTGTCCAAATTCTAACTTTTATCTCATTGAAAACCTCCAATTTTAAGTCACGTCCCAATTCTACCGTAAATTATTTTTTGTTTCATAAAAAAACCCTAACTGTATGTGCGGTATCATTTCTATACTAAACTTTTTTTGTTTCCTGAAAAAATCCCAACTTTAGGTGTAGTTTCAATTTCACTCTAATTTTTTTTGTCTCATAAAAGATAATATGCTCTCCATTAACCTTCCGTCAAAAATAGTGATTTTGCGCTCGTCGATCTTTCATGTTTGGAAATGTTCCATCTCTTGCGGTGGGATAGCTCGCGCTCGAGACACTCAAACAACTCATGCTTCAAAGTTTTCCATCTCTCGGTTGTAAACGAGAAATTTTGGACAGGGGTTAATAGGGGCAAATTTGTGACTCAAGTAAAAGTTGTGACTTTTTTAGGGTAAAATTAGGACAAAACCTAAAGTTGGGGTTTTTTCATTGGACAAAAAAAAAGTTTAGGGTAGAACTGGACAAGACCTAAAGTTGACGGTTTTTTATTGAACAAAAAAAAGTTTAAGGTAGAACTGAAACTGGACCTAAAGTTGAAGGTTTTTTATGAGATAAAAGGTAAAATTAAGACAAAAGCTAAAGTTAGATGTACTTTTAGGGCATTCCATGTGCATTGCTCGTGTGTTATTTAACTTCGAATATCATCTTTTTTTTTTCCTTTTTTTAACTTGTTTCCATCGCCCTTATTATTTATCATCATTATTATCTCATAATCATATATATTTGAAAAATAATTTCGCAAAAAACAAGGAGGAAAAAAGGGCACGAAATCTTTTTTTTACGTTTTCAATTTCTTATATATGGTTACGATTTATGTGCGAACATTGCAATGATAAATAAGATTTTCTTATTAATTTTTTTATGAATTTTGGCATACCTGAAGAGTGCAACGACGAGGTCGTCACGAACACTAACTAGAACACCAGCGTATGGCAAGATCTCCTCCACCCAACCGTTCCCTCTGGCATATGCTCATGTGTGCCGTTGGAATCCAGATCGTCCAACTAGCGTATGGCACAAACACTACTTTTTAGCCCTAAAGTTTTCGAGAGGGTCTGCATCACCATATCCTACGGAAAACTACTCGCGAACATGGTAATTAACTTGGTGAAGACATTGGTCATCCCCTTTTCCGCATTCCTCATTGATCGGGTCGAGCGACGGCCATTGTTGCTGAGCAACTTGGTGGGGTGTTCTTCTCACTCGTCTCCCTTGAGTGGGCCTCAACTACATGGCCATCACCTTGGTGATTTCCTATGTGATCTTCTTCTCGATCGGGCTGGAGCCGATCACGGATGTGTACTGTGGAGATCTTCCTATTGAGCATAGGGTTATCATTGATGTACATATCGATGTTCAAAGCAATCACCCTCGGTGGGGCCGCCTTATTGTTCACAGTGATTGCAATTGTCGGTGCCAAGACCTCTAGGTTTGCGGAGGAGGCACACTCCAACTTGCCACTATTAAGAAGGCTGTCGGAATACCTGATAGGTGCAACAAAGACGTTGTTACGAACACCAAATACGTTTCTTTTCCCATATTGCACGTGGATTGCACGAGTATAGCACATGCATTGCACATGGATTGCATGCACGGGCATTGCACATGGATTGCACTAGACTATGAAAGTTTTGGAGATGTGGTGGTATTTGATACAACTTACTGTACGAATAAGTACAATATGATATGTGCACCTTTCGTTAGCTTGAATCATCATTGGAAGAATGTTCTCTTTGGTTGTGCATTTTTATTGGATGAAGTTATTGCTTCTTTTGTTTGGACATTTCAATCCTTTTTAGAGGCAATGGGTAATAAAGCACCCAAGACTATTTTCACCGATCAAAATCATGCCATGGCGAATGTCATTAAGACTGTTCTTCCTGATACTAATCAACATTTATGTGTATGGCACATTGCGAAAAATGCTACGCATCATCATATTGGGCATCTTCTTAGAAATCCGAGTTTTCGTGATAACTATTGGCATAAGCTTTTGTATCGTTGTCAATCTGAATTTGAAATGGAGAATGTTTGGAAAGCTATGTGTCAAGAATGGAGCTTGGGGGATCACAAGTGGTTAAATAACATGTATCAGCTACGTCATAAATGATATCCTGCATTTGGCCGAGATATTTTTTCTGCAGGAATTAGATCCACACAAAGAAGTGAGAGCACAAATAACGTCTTTCAAGATATGGCATGCAAGACTATGACTTTATCTGAATTTGTCAATCATTATGAGAAGCAAGTAGAAAAAATGCGCAACTTTGAAGTTGTTGATGATTTTGAGTGTGCTCGAGGAGAGCCGCGGATTATGATTGAAAATAGTGGAATTTTGAAACATGCTGCAAATTTATACTCATGTCATTTATCGGAAATTCCAAGATGAGTTCTTGCATGCTTTGTCTGTGGGTGTTTGTAGATCAGAAATTGATGGGCCAATGCACACTTATATCGTGGCAACTGAAAGTAGTGAAAGGAGGCATGTTGTTTGTTTTAGTTCAAGTGATTTAACCATTACATGTAGTTGCAAGTTATTTGAAATGCGAGGATGGTTGTGTAGGCATACTTTATGCATCTTGAGACATGTAAATGTTACAAGCATTCCTTCACAATACATTCTGAAGACGTGGACAAAAGCTGCAAAACAAGGGACTTATTGTCATGTTGGACAAAGCTCTCATGCTGTGGTAAAGTCAAAAACATTACGCTTGAAGAAATTGATGCAATTGGCTTTCAGTGTTATGAATATTAGTGCAAACGATGATGTTTCGGAGGAGCTCGCAACCACAATCTTGCTGTGTCTTCGCTCCCATATCACAAACAAAATGCAATCTTCGACAGGTAATGATCATATTAATTTCTTGGTGGAAAGTGATGAAGCTGAAGATGTAGAAAACTATGAAATTCAAATACTTGATCCCCTTCGGAGAAGACCAAAAGGTGTACCAAACACTCGGTTGAAGGGCGCTAGTGAAAAGCGAAAGAGAAAACCATCTTCATGCGCAGGAGGCACCTCACATAAGGTATGATGCTTGTTTAATTTGTGATTTCATCAATAAAAGCCATGAAGTTATTATGATACTCTTCCTTTTTTGCAAGATTGACCTTCGGCGATCATTCACTACGATGGGTAGATAGCGAATTTGGTGATTGGTTATCCTCCAGTTCTGATTAAAAGCATTAACAACTCTTTAAAACCTCGGATTAGGTTTTTGATTGATATAATGGGGAGACAACTCGATGAAGCTGCTGATTATCCTGACTTCTTTCCCCATAGTTTGAAAATAGACTAGAGCAACGTTACAAATTTTTGAGCAAAAGGAACATCGGCTGTAGCATGAGCGAGATGCTGGATTGTGATCAAAAGAAGTTCTTATTTAAGTTCGGTTTGATTGGAGGATTCACCTGAGTTAATAGTTACATCTTTTGTTCATTCTTACAAATTTTTTGTAGAATAGCTTTAGCTGTTATTCTGTATCCCTGATGCTTGAGGTGAAGTCATCTTGTATGTGGTTCTAGTCAAACAATTTAGATGCCGAGTGAAATGATCCTTTTGGCAAATTCAGCCCAAAATTTGTGTTGTTTTCTCCATATGTGAGATGAAATGAATGCTCATTTGAATGCACTGGTACACTTTGAAGCTCACGGATCCACTGGCTAGCCAAGCCAAGTGAATGCGATTGCCAAGTCTATAATTCTAGGGTGCCTAGCATCTCTAATTCTTGTTCTGAATCCATCATGGTCTAGTGTGGATGGACTGGGAGATTCATAGTTGATGAATGATCATTGCAGATGACTTGATGAATGATCATTGTAGGTACTCTGAATCGATGCATATGGTTTCAGGTTTAAGATTGGCGGTCTTGATTCCTGTCAAAACTTGTTTCTTCCTTAGAGTTCATTATGTAGCTCGAACATTACACGTCAGGTGTTATTTTTATGCTACCAATGCTGAGTTCTCCTCCCTTGCAGTCTGCTTATAATGGAAAGGGTGACAAAGGTGATCCATGGACTTGGCTAGAAGTGGAAGGGCCATTAACGGTAAGATATTTCTAGACAAAAAGGCAGCAAGATGGTGAGAGGATGAACTTGCACTAGTTGAAAAATCGATTGTGTTTGTCTTTTCTAACCGATAGAAGGGACATGGGCTATAGAGATGTTAAAGTCGCAATGACTTGGTAGTATAAATACTGGCAACTACGAGGCAAGCAGAACTGATGGGGTTATTTAGTGGGTTATCCTTTCTCAAAAGATGCCTGATGAAAGGTTGACTCAGCTGTGGGCATGGCTACGATCTTTTGTGGATTTGATCACCTCTTGCATATTCGAATTTCGATTTTCTTTTATTCCATCAATGATGTTATGACTTTCGCTTGTCTTCTAGGCTGTTTTTTTTGAAGGTTGGATGCTTGGATTCAAACCCTTGCCAGCAGATGTAGTCAAAGCTGTTGATCCACAGGTTGGGACTCAAAGAATCTTGCAGATGTTTGGATGACTTTTTTCGTCATGCTGTTGTATGATAACTGGACTAATACCTTCTGAGTCTATTATATAGCTAGAGATTGTGAACAAGAATCTTGAAGCTTATTATGATGCGTGGGACAAATTTGTCAAGGCATGGATAGTCATCAAGATTGAGGACACCAATTGTGTCTACCAATGGCGCTTGCAGGTTGGCATCTCACCTTCCCTATGACCACATTATGTTCTATCGAAATGTAGAATCCCATCTGCAAATTCACCGTGTTACTTATTTTCTCTGTCATGATTTTAACTGTGTACAAACCGTTTTGGCAAAATCTTTTCAGACAGAAATTGCTATGAGAGAGGCCGGAAATCCTGGGATGTCTGATGAGGAGGTGCTTTCCTATTTATCAGTCTTTGACATGCTCTGGTTTTAGTTGTACATGCAGCAACCATCTGATTCTTGAATTCTAAGAGTAAAAGTTTTGCATTTTGTAGGTTAAAGATTTTGTCTCCCGTTACCTCCGAGCGTATGAGGCTTATCTCCCAACACTATACTCTGAAGGATCAAAGGGGTCAGACCCTGAGCATCTCCTGGTTATCGAAATTGATGAAGGGAGAAACCCGTTATAGGTAGCTAGGTGACTGAAACTTCCACTGAGATTCTACTAAGGATTTTCTTTTTTTCTTGATTGTTGGGCTTGTTGAATGGTTAGTTTTGTTTTAATAACATGCCATCTTCTGTTGTTAGTCATTGTAAATTGTATATTCTATATGAAATTTTGACATGTAAATAAACTCTGTCATTCAGCTCCAGATGTATTGGCAGCTTATCAGGAATTGCCTTCAATCGCTTATGTGATCATAAACCTAATTCATGGTGCTCGAAAATTGGAACATCTCGATGAATCTGAAACGTGAGAGAAATAACTCTGGGAGGAATATCAAACAAACACGTTCATGTTATTGCAGACATCGAATGTCACGCACACTTCAATTTGATAGACCCATTTACATGACCAATTATTGGATAATGAAATCTCCAAATGAATGCACAAAGAAGAAATACGGTCTTTCCAAACATTATTGTCTTTCCATAATGAAGGAACAATTCTCGGTTATTGTAGAAGAATTCGAGCAAGTATATATAAACAACCGCAAATCACTAACTGAAGCTTCACTTATTGCTAGTGTTTGAGGTCCATGAATACCCATCTCCCTAAGACAACATTATTGTCCTGTGAAAAAATAACCCATTTGTTAACAACTGGGGAGTTCACTCATAATCGTATGGTTGACGAACCCGGAGGCTCTCTAAGCCAGAAAAAGTAAACTGATATATGGCGGACCAATTTCCACAATCGCCCTTTGTTGTTGAAAATGAGAAATAAGAGCCAACGTCTTAACTTTTGCTAAACTGATCATAGTAAAGTAAAGCAAGTTCTACATAACCACCAAGATTAACTCCTATAATTACCTATATAGTAACATAGAAATCACAATTCCAAGAAGGAAAGATACGATGACTCCATATAATATTATCATTGACATAATAAAGCCTATTTTTCTTCTAATTAACTTCAAATCTCCTTTTATGATTGCCAATTCTTCATTTTCGCTTGATGCCTCTCCAGAATTGACTGCGTCCACATTTTTAGGCGAACAGATCCTGCATTCCTCAATATAATCTTCAACCCATTGCACAAACCTCGACAATTATCTGTTTGAAAAAAAAAATTAATGTAAAGCAATATCAAGTATTACAAATGTCACTACATGCACAATATGGTAAATTGATACACTTACATTACAAGTCAAAGCATAATATAACGTTCCTCGATTAATAGGATTTTTTTTCCCTTTTTTTACTGTGCATAATTTCCCTTGAGGACATGGACATATCTTGGATGGAAAATCAACCGACCAATTTGAAGATCCTTGAGATGCCATACTAAAGTAATAATATCATATAATCAAAATTAGATTAGATTTAATCAACAAAAGTAATCCAAGCAAATAAATGTAATAGATAACAAAACCTACAACAATCTTTTTCCACTATATGTTCCTGTGGATCATTTTCAAAATCTATCAGCTCCACTAATCGTGGCTTAAAAAAGCTTGCCTTATAGAATTAACCATAATGATAGAATTTTTCCCAGTAAAATTTGACTAACAACAAGAAGCATGGTGTAGAAAGTTGCTTACCTCATTTGAGACCCACGAATCAGAGAAAATATTCTCTTTCTAGTTGTCTTATTTTTTCCTCCAAACTTTCCTGGGAATCATTTTCTCAGTTAGTCACTTTGATCTTCACAAATAATGGGTTATATAACTTAAGAGACTTCTAAAAAAAAGGGATTATGCAGAAAGATCAGTCAAACCTTAGCACCAACAAAAAAAAATTTGACTGATTGCGGAGGTGGAAGCGGGAGGGCAAAGGCGACTTTTCTCCGACGGAGGCCACGAGGTTGAGGCGGAGGCGGAAGGACGGGGGCGGGAGGGCGGAGGCGGAGGCCGCGAGGGGGAGGCAACGAGCGGGAGGCAACGAGCGGGAGGGTGGAGAAGGAGGCGGAGGCAGGAGGACAAAGGCGGAAGGTGGGAGGGTGGATGCAGAGGCCGCGAGGCTGGCGGAGGTAGGAGGACGGGCGCGGAAGGGCGGGGGCCATGAGGTTGAGGCGAAGGTGGGAGGACGAAGGCGGAAGGTGAGAGGGCGGAGGCCGCGAGGCTGAGGCGACGAGGCGGAGGTGGGAGGGGGGAGGCGGAGGCTGGAGGGCGGAGAACGGAGGCAAGAGACGGGAGGGCGGAGGGGTCTCGGGACCCAGCTGCTGCGACTGGCCTTCCGCTTTTCACCGGTGGTTTCCGGAGCCACTGACGACGAAAGTGAAGAAGAAAAGCTAAGAACAAGGATGAGATGAGAAGAAGCGTTATGGGAAGGGAAGGAGAAGAGTGAAAAAAATACTGGAATTCAAACTAACATGAAAGAGAAAAGAGAGGGAGAGGGGGAGAGAGACACGGCAATTAATGCACGCATTTATTGCTTCACTTCCTTGCTCACGCCTCCTCCTGTAGGCACAGAGGAGAGAGGGTCTTCTATCCTAGGGCGTAAGAGGAGAGAGAAACCAAATATAGCTTTATTTTTTTTATTCCACGTCACAGCCACATGTCCTATTATCAATGGTCCACGTGAGTTTACGCACGCTACGTAGGCACGTGACGTGGTGTGTGTAAACCACTAAATAATTTCTCGTGGCATGGACACCCTAGTACTCTTTAGCCCTAAAGTTTTCAAGAGGGTTCGCATCACCACGTACTACGGAAAACTCCTCGTGAACATGGTAATTAGTCATGGCCACGGGCCGATTTTGGCTTGGAACCGGCCCGGTCAAACTCGGGCCCGGCCCGTTGACCGGGCTCGCGGTTAGGAACCAGAACCGGCCCGTGGCCTACCGGCCCGGTTCCGGTTCCAAATTATTTTTTTTTAAAAAAATTAATTATTTAATTTTTTTTTATAAAAAAAATTGAACTCTAATTGCCATGTAAATGCATTGATCTCCAATTACAATGCTTGGCTTGAGTGTGTTGAACTCTAATTACAAAGCTTGGCTTGGGTTTTATAAACAACCCCTTTGATGGTCTCTTCATTCCCATTCGATGTGGGACTCTCGGCTTGCCTTGAAGACCTTCAATGTGAGACTCTTGGCTTGTCTTCATGCAAATGCCAAGAGTCCTACATCAAATGGGAATGAAAAGACCATCAAAGGGGTTGTTTATAAAACCCAAGCCAAGCCATGAGCATGTGAAGTTGTATACCTTTTGTGGCTACGATCCTTTGCTAGTTAAGAGCAAAGGGTTCCATTGGACCGCCTAGAACCGGACCGGACCAATGGTCCGGTTCCCGGTTCTATGATTTGCCGATCCGGTTCCTAGTTCTAAAATTAAAGGACCGGTCTTACCGGTTCGGTTCCCGGTTCCAACCGGGAACCGATCACCCCTATAATTTTCATTTTGATTATAATTTATATTGAATAATTCATTATTTCATATTTTTATAATTCATTATTTTTTTATTTCATAATTTATTTTTAAATTTTTTAAATTACGAACCGGAACCGGCCGGTTCCGAACCGGAACCGGAACAGCTAGGGGCGGTTCCGGTTCCGGTTCACACATGGCCACAAACCGGAACTGCCGGTTCCGAACCGGAACCGGCCGGTTCCGAACCGTGGCCATGACTAATGGTAATTGACTTGGTGAAAACTTTGGTCATCTTCTACGCCACATTTCTCGTTGATCGGGTCAGGCGGCAGCCATTGTTGCTAAGCAGCATGGGCGGGTGTGTTCTTCTTGCTCATCTCCCTCAAGGTGTACCTCAGCTTCATCGACCACAGCTGCACAAAGCTCTCATGGGCAATAGACATGGCCATCACGTCAGCGATTTCCTATGTGATCTTCTTCTTGATCGAGGTGGGGCCGATCACGAAAGTGTACTGCACAGAGATCATCCCACTGAGCATAGGGTTATCACTGACGTACTTATGGATGTTCAAAGCAATCACCTCAGTGGGCCACCTTATTGTTGCGGTGATCACGATCGTCGGCACATTGTTTGCGGTGATCACAATCGTCGGCGCCAAGACCTCTAGGTCTGCAAAGGGGGCTGCGCTCCGGCTTGCCACTATCAAGAAGGCTGCTGGCATACCTGAGGAGTACAGTGACGACATTGTCACGAACACCAATTAGGTCCTAAGTTTTTTTTTCCCATATTGCAAGTGGATTGCACGAGCATAGCACATGTATAGCTCGTGCATTCCTCATGTGTTATTTAATTTCGGAATCATCTATTTTTTTTCCCTTTTTTTAGCCAAGCAAGTTAATTTTGGATAGTGTCCATCGCACTTACTATTTCTCATCATCATTATCTCATAATCATATATATTTGGAAAATAATTTCGCAGAAAAAGGGAGGACGATAGGGTATGGAATTTTTTTTTATGTTTTCAATTTCTTATATATGGTTACGATTTTACGTGCCAATATTGTAATGACAAAAAAGATTTTTTTATTAATCTTTTTTTTTATGAATTTTGACATACCTGAGGAGTCCAACGACGAGGTCATCGCGAACATCGACCAGAGCACCAGCAACGATCATGATGGTGGTACGCCGTCGTTGATGGCGGCCCCAATGGCGGCGACAGTCAACGCAGTGGCCCTTGCACTTAGACCTAGGGTTTTTGCTCTCTTTTTCGTTCATTCCTTTTTTTATTGAAATAACTGAATACTGTAATGATTTTTTTTTTCCAATCCTATCTTAAGTGTACCAAACAGTTATTGACATAAGATATGTCCAAATCTACAATCTGGGGAATTTCGAATCCCGTCAAATCTTATCTTTTCTTAATCCTTATCCTAGCGACAGTCCAAACGCGACCTCAATGGCCAGGATGTATTGCAGAAGACATCATTTATGCAACCCCCTCTCAAGATCAAGGTTTTAAAGCACGCAAAAATCTTAAATGAAGGTACCCCATCGTGATTGCTTGGGCCGAACATCACGTTTAGGAACAGGTTCAGCCCATGAGGCCTGCAATCCTTCCCCCTAATCATCAGGCTTAATCACTCCACACCTTAAGGCTTGTTTTTTTAGCCAATACAGATTGAAGAAATTCCCTGGTGATTAACTTGTGTATTTGAAACTTAGATGCATTTCATAATCAGTGTCCTAATCTCAATTTGGGTCGATTCGGTATCTCTCCTAATTCGTAATCGGTGCCCTAATCGTCGACGTTCCCGACGGTTTGCTTAGCGCCGAGACCTTCCGTACGAATTTCATCCGAAACGCGACGAGATTTCGCCCCGCCTTGTAGCTCACAACGATGGTCTAATTAAGCAACTGAGGTTGAGTGGCTTAGAAGAAACATTGTAGGCACGAAAGTTTGATTCCTCGTCTTGCATACACTTGAGGGTGTCCTAGACAATGTCATCGAATTTTGGGTGCTCTCAAAAACATTATTCCCAATTATATGTTTCTAGCTGGAATCTAATGGCTTTAGCTTTTTAATTAGTGCTTCCATTATGCTGATTATTAGTTTATTTATTTATAAACTTGATTATTTATTTATTTATTTTTGCGGATTAGTATTAGGGTGTCGTTACTTGTAGGCCTCGATTGGGATTTTTCTTTATTGAAAGGATGACGTGCGGGGGATAAGGAAGGGCCGGCAAAACTTCCCTAAAAGAAAGTGTCAACTTCACTTACCCAAGTTGCGTGCCCAAATTATTCAGATGTTTGCATCTTGGTCTTTCTTTTGACTTGTGATCTCTTCAAGACTTCAACTGGTTAGAACTTTCGAGGAAGATCTTGCCATCCTCATGAACCAGTCACATTTAGACCTTTGCCTTGTACACGTAGCCCCTTTCGTAGAGCAGTTTGCAATTGCGACTTGTGAGATCTGAACGGGTGACCTTCAGTTATCGAGCCAGTAATCTCATGACGCCCTAACGAATTGCGCCGACCTCGGGGGGCTCTCCAGCTGGTAAGAGATTCCGAGATTTCCAAAAATCCCAATCGCCGTTTGAACCGCCATATTGGCTAAATCTAGTCAAATAGCAATTACGATGCAAGAGATTATGAGTACTCGACGTGCAAGTACGATTCTAGTGGCATTAACCCAAATTGATAATCGATATATCGTTCCACTATGAAATCAAATGGCTCATCACAAAAGTAAATGTATCATACTCAAATCTTTTTTTATATGGTTAATGAAAGTTTGATTCGATTGACTTAATAACATTATTGGTTCTTGATTTTTGTGGATATACCATGGAACATAGCCGTGGAGAATCGATGCGGCTAATTTCGTGTTAGGCATCAACCATGATTAAATCCACTTAATCATTCTTTAAAACATATTCATTTGAGAGAATCCATTGAAATTCCCCATCCACAATAATAATCTCAAAAGGTTTCGATTCTTTTCTTGCATGCTGATAAAAATATAAAGAGCTCGAGAATACTTGTGTCTGTTCCAACGTCACTATCCGAAATTTGGTTTGTCTACTTGCAAGCAATCCGAGCCCCACCTTCCACCTATTTTATTCTCCAATTTGTGCCCTTTTTTTTAAAAAGAAAAAAGTCTTAATTAAAAGTGGTGATTAATTTTATACAAAATGTGATTCCCATGATTATATATTGGAATAGTTATTTGATGGTTGGTAGACACATAGTCGTTTCATTTAGACCATAAGGATTCAATTGTTAGAAGAAGAAATGGTATTTACATAATATTTTTTTTAGAATGTTGTTCATATTTGATTGTGTGAGAGTGAGAGGGAAAAAAATGAAACATGAAGATCAAATTCCTAGTCATTGTACAAATTATTAAAGGTGTATTTCAGTCCGATCCTTATTCGAGAGAACTTCCTATAAGCATCCATGATCAGTAGGTTAATAATTACAGACATCACTTACATGCAAACTTAACTAAATATAAACGTGAGTTAAGGCCATATTTGTAATTCAGTAATTAACAAATTAGGCAAACGAAGTTTCCTCCAATCATGAAGGGAGAAAAGTATGATCCGAATTATTATATACTTATAAATTAAATGGATTTCGTATTCAGGTCACCGAACTTTCATTACAGTCACCAAGTACACTAAACTTTTCAATTTTTGCAATTAAACACACTTGAGCCAGAACCTAGCGAATTTTTTGGGCGGATTTTAATTTTTTGGCGAGATTATCCCAAAATTTAAAAATAAAAAAACTTCGTGGGACAAATTAACATTTGGTTGACGAAGCGTGCGGGCAAGAGCATTGTGCTTGAGTATAAAAGACGCTGAAAGAAGTAATTCCAATTTTTTTTATAAAAATACGAATTTAATCCTCTTATTAATTTAATTTATTTATTAAAATGAATTCAAAGGGCAGGTAGGAGACGCAAATTCATAGAAATTAGGTGCCGTCACGGACCAATTCCCACATAAAAATAATTAATTAACGTTGTCTAATTCAGCGCAGGCTTCTAAACACCAATTCAATATTAAATATTTTATGGATTATTTTAATGAATTTAACCAAAAAAAAGGAATAGGAAAAGGAAATGTTCTATGCTTTGTCGACTGGTATAAGAGGCAACATTTCCGATTTTAGCCAAGTAAATTAATGTGATTCTCGTTGAATTTGAACCCCGAAAAAGGCTATTTTAATAGAAGATGGGATAATTACAGGCATCATGCATCTTTGAATTCCCTCCAAATATTCGATCGAGTCTCTAAACTTTCTTTTATTTTTAATTGGTTTCGCGAATCATGTTGTTTTTTTGTGCGATTTGATCGTTCGTTTATAAAATTCTAATGCGGCTATTAAAGGCTTTACCGACAAATTACATGATTAATATAAACGTTAAAAGCTAAAGCAAAACAAAATGAAAATATTATAAGAAAAAAAAGAAACAAAAATTGAAAAGAAGAGCAAAACAACGAATCTCGCCTTGGCTGCAGCAAGGGTCAATTGCTAGCCCGAGCGAGACGGTGAGGGTGAGAGCCTCACCTCCATAGAGACATCCGATGGCAGCGACGGTTAACCTGGTAATCTACGTACACATTAGCATTTCGGTTTACATATTTTATCAGAAAGGACCAACTTGGAAAAATAAAATTAAAAGTTCCTATCCTTCAATATCTTTTTTTTATCATAACCATAGTAGTAAATGATATAAAATGTACTAATTTCATTCAAAAAATGTTAATTTTTATTTTCTCAAGGGATATTGACACAAACAGTCCTTGAACTTTAGCCCAATGTGCAATGTGGTCCTTGAACTTTTAATTTGTTCAATGCAGTCCCTGAACTTTAGCCAAATGTTCAATGTGGTCCCTGAACTTTTAATTTATTTAATGTGGTCTCTGAACTTTTGGTACACGTACAATGTAGTCCCTGAACAATATGAAAATGTTCAATATAGTCCATGAACTCGAATTAATGAAAGGACTACATGGAACATTACATGTATGTACAAAAATTTCAGGGATAACATTGAACAAATTAAAAGTTCAAGGGCTACATTGAACATTGGGTTAAAATTCAGAGATCACATTGAATAAATTAAAAATTCAGAGATCATATTACACATTGAGTTCAAGTTATAGTTCAAAGACTATTGATATCATTTTCCCTTGATTGGATTATGAATTACGGAGTCCGTAATTGCCAAATGGTTTCACAAGAATGGTGGTTGGTATGGTAAATAAGGCAAAGTACGGGGGCGTTTCCGTAAAAAGCGTCGCTGTCTACGTGATTAGATTTTTTTTTTTTACCTTGTTTTTTTCTGTTAGATTCAGGTAAGAACCGATCCCCACTTTGATAGTTTCCATTTGAGTTTCTCTCTCTCTCTCTCTCTCTCTCTCTAGCCAAAGCAAATTCTCCTTCTTCTTCTTCTTCTTCTTCTTCGTTCTGCGAGCTCATCTTCAAGCTCTCGCCGGCCGCCCTCGCCGCTGCCCCTCTCGATCAGACCACCGGCCGCCGGCCGCCGTCGGATCTGAGGAATCCGAACCAGCATCGCGACCGATCCCCACGCGGCTCCGGGGGGGAGAGAGAAATCCGTGCCGAAATCCGGCTCCCGATCGCCGGCTCCGGGCTCTTCTCCGGTAAATCGATATCGATTCCGACCGAGAATTTCATCTGTTTCTTAGACGGAGAGATTTCTACGGTAGTGTCTCGAGTGGATGAGTGGATGAGTGATCGGTGTTGATTTGCGGAAACGCGACTTGGAGGAAGGATTTTTTGGGGATTGACGTGGTGCGGAGATTTTGATTTTTGTTCTGGCGGTTTTGTAGGGAGGAGTGTCTTTTTTTTTTTTATTTGATGAGATGGATGGCGAAGGCTCGATCGAGATCAAGTTCAGGCTCGCGGATGGCAGCGACATTGGCCCCAGCAGATACAGCCCGGCTATGACGGTGGCCTCGCTCAAGGAGAAAGTGGTCGCTCACTGGCCTCGAGGTTGGTTTCGATTTCCAGACCGTGTAATCTGATCTTTTGCGATCTTTCTCGCGAGTGCCGTCGCTTTCGTACTGTTGCATCCGATATCTTTCATGTGTCGTTAGCCGCATTCGTGTGTTTTTAGTTTCCATAGCTTTATTGTGCGGGGTAAGATAGCCAATGATTGATGAATGTTTTAGCTTATTTGAACCGGCCAGAGTTGCCGTTTTTAGTATGTTTTAGGTCGAAGGGATCTCTTGATGGTATCGAATGCGGTAAATTAGTATCACAGATGTGATTATATGCAACTAAGTAGAAATTGGATTTTGTGTCGAAAGTGTCCTGCAATGGCGATATTCATGGTCCCCAAAGTCGATGGAAGCATCATGCTGTGCATCAATCCTGATTAGAATATCTGTACCTTCTTAAGTTAAATATTCCGGTATAATTTGCTGTTTCGTTTGCTTTTATATCTTAATATCCTGAGAATCGCGGCTATGCTACTCTTCTGTAAATTCTCTGGGGCTGAAGTGGTATCTTCTGTGAAGTTGGAATTGGGGGGAGCTGTCAGATTACGTGCTTAACAATGAGATGAGAGTTACTTACTTGAATGGTGAATGAGTTTCTTTTAATGTATACTGTTTCTATTGGTAGACAAAGAAAACGGTCCGAAGACATTGAACGATGTAAAGCTTATTCACGCTGGAAAGATACTGGAAAACAACAAGACACTTGCTGAGTCCAGACTTCAAGTCGGTGAACTTCCAGGGGGTGTCATCACTATGCATGTTGTTGTGCGTCCCCCTAATCCAGACAAAAAGAATGGTAAAAATAAACCTTTATTCTGTTCTATGTTTAACTTTAAGTGAATTTTCTCAGCACATGTGACATGTTTATTAAAGAACATGTTTATGATTATAACACCCCAACTCCCACACCAAATCGAAGATTGGTGGTGATGTAATTCTTAAGTATAGACCCTCACCCAAAAAGTTCACCACTATCTTGAGTACTGCTTAGCTCACGGAGTAGTCATAGTGGTATTGACCTTTTTGAGAGGGTCTTCATTTAAGCATCGCATCACAAGTTCTCTTTCATCCGATGTGTGTGGTTACAGGTTGCACGTGACACTACTGGTTCTACAAAATAGTTTTCATGGTTTGGCAATAATGGTGACAAAAACCCATTGTTTCCTCCTATCACCGTATCTTTCAAAATTGGTTCTGTCATGTCATGGTAGCATTAGGTTTGTTAGGATGCATTTTCAAAGGGCTTTGTCACTCTTAAATCACAAGATTCTCCTTTATCTCTTACCCTTCAAAACCATCTTCTGTTGCATGGTTGAAGCATATCGTTGGCTATTTAATCATCAGATGAAGATGAAGAAGTTCCTGTAACTTAGTTTATATGCTATTTCTCTTCTTTTACACATCCTCCCAAAGCGCATGAAAAAGAGTTCTTGTCATACTCTTCCTAGAAAGGTCTGGTGAATATAGCAATACTCAATTATTCAGGTTCACAGAATTATACTGATAGCAACTTCACCATCACATTTCATGCATGACTTGTGTACAAGCAAACTTCCTACTGCTACAATGAGACTCTGACACTTTGACTCCACTTTCATGGAAGAAAATAGTCCTTATCATTAAAACACTATTCTATTGGCGCCTAAGTGTTATCTTTTATATTTTAGCCAAAAAAAAAAAGTGTTATCTTTTACAGTGTTATTCTTCCATCTGCTAGTATCATCTATAGGAAACAAGAACAAGTTTACTATGTCGATGCGGAAGGGAAATGACTTTCAATATGCTTTATTTCAGAGAAGTTGCAGAACGAGTCTATGGGGAAAACTGGGTGTTCATGCTCAATTTTGTAGCTCCAGGTAACAGAGTCGACATCTTCATGGCTCGGTGTTGCTTCACACATTGTCAAGTTAGGGCTGCTACTTGCTAAGTTGCTCTTGGAATCGTTGTAAGAATGAGTGCATCGACAAATCTTCTTGAAAAAAAAAAAAGAGTAATTCTTGCTGTAACAGTGTATAAAATCCTGAAGTGAAAATTTGTTGGATTGTTTATACAGGCAAAATTTGTTGTAGAGTTGTGAGTGATGTAATCAGCACAATTTGAGTGTATAAAGAGATTTCCAATGAATGTTTACTTCCAAAGAGATTGTTATTCTAGCCAAGGATGAGAGGGAAGATGGCTACTGTGCACTGTTCAGGCATAGCAACCCCCCCTCTTGCATGAAGATACACGTACATGTACATTTGTTATAAAATGGAAAATGGTTTCGGCTTGTTCTACGATTTCCTAGTGATAATAAGGGCGAACCGACATTATTTCTGCTGTGAATGATGAAACCTGGAACGACTTCTTCAAAGATGACAAGGCTTACAAGATCTTGAAGAGATAACTGTACACAAGAAAAATGGGGTTGAATTCATTAATATCAAGGATGTGGATACAATCTCTTATTTGAAAAGTCGATTACAAGTGTATCTCTGATTCTCTCTTCACTTAAACGTTTCATCCAAGTGTCTGAGCTATTGATCTCAAACCAAACAATGGGAAGCTTGATTTCTTGAAAATATCCGGGGCTTTGAAGCTTGATCCGGTAGAAATGCGATGAACGGTTACAAAGACTATAGGGCTTGAAAGCGTAATCCAACGAAAGTGTCAACGAAAACGACGAGGCTTTTGGAAGAGTCATACAGCAAAACTTCAACGAAGATGACTAGTCTTGCAAGGTGATCTGACGAGACTTTAGTATAACTTGACGAAAACTGCAGGGCTTTGTAAGCATGATCTAACGAAACTTCGATGTATGTTGAGACAGAGCTTGGAAGCTTTGATTTGGCAAAACTTCGCTACATGCTGACGAAGACGATGGGATCTAGAAGCTTGATCCGACAAGACTTATTCGCGTTTCACGTTTGTGTATTTGAAATTCGAACATGTGATCTTGCTCTTCGAGGTCAAGAGTAGTCGTATACATTAGAGAGCTCTTAATGTTTCTCTCAAATGCATTCTTCGAGTTATCCGTATATACGATGTTGAAAAAAGAAGCCATGTATCTAATTGACATACGATATCATCTCGCATTTGTATTCTTAACAAGTGTACCTCGGAAGATACCAAAACATTCTTGAGTTGCATGCATATGACTGCTATGGAATCCAACTTATCAGATGACGAAGAATAATACGAACAGTAGGGTAATTGGTCAGTATATATATCCAGAAAACATCGCAACATCAACATCTTCTCAAATGTATTTTCGCGGTCAAGCAATCGATTATTACTTGATTAAATCAAACAGCAAGTGAGATATTTTGTTCCTTTCGGAAATTTCCATGTCAACGACGCTGTCACAAAGGAACTACGGACTTACTATGGCTCCCACTACTAAGCTCAGATGCATTGACGCAGAGCAAGCACAGCCCCTGTATCATAGTGCAGACATAGCCAAGAATCAGTAAACAGATTCAGAATGCAAAGCGACCGGAGAATTGGAGAGATCGACTTTGTCAATCAACGAATTTGATCACTGTACATAAATTAAGGCATTACAGGTGTATAGGGTCAGAGGTTTCATTGTCACAAGTATCTATATCTATGTGCTCTGATAATAGTTACAGTATCATCCTCCAATAGGCACGTATATACACCAAAGAGTGGCGGCGGCGGCAGCTTAGAGCTCGATATCCCACACCTATCTCACAAAACTCCGAGCACCTTGGCTGTGTAATGTTTATCCATTGCCGATTAAGGCACCTACGCGTTCTTGCAGATCGTGGTAGGAGCACGGCCAGTTAGACGTTCACCTGGAATATGACCAGGAATAAGGAAATCGGAGGTTTCTTCCACTTTGGCTATGAGGAGGAATGATTTCCTATGGACGCTGACGATGAGCGATTCAAATTAGCGGCCTTTCTGGACGACCGGACGCACTTCAGAGTCATCATGAGTTTCTGTCTTTCTCCTTCAACCTCGGCAAATTGAAGGCTTAATTGAGAGTAGCGTTCGTGCATTTCTTTTAGCTCGCCTTCCACAGCTGCGTACTTTCCCTTTATCTCCAGCATGTCTTTGATCAGCTCATTGATGTCTCTAAAGCTCTTGAATATTGCTTCCTCACCACTGTGTTGTCTTAAGAAAGAGCTGCATAACAGAAATCACGGACCCATTCACAAATTGTTACCTCTCGTCAGCAGCATTTTATGTTGCGACTCCCATTTACTATTCTATAAAGTTTAACCGTGTCTCATCTCAGTAAGAAATAACCGCGTGTCTAAGCTGTAATGCAAGTGTGGCTGAATCGAAGATCCACTATGATGATGCACTGAGGGATTGTTCAAAATGCATCGCCATGTGAAATGATCATAAGATGAAGCAAATTCCCAGGAATATAGGATTGATAGGATAATTAGCATTTTTATAATCAACATATTCCACTGGACCCCAGTCAAAAACCTTCGATGTTTGTTCTAGATGAGTGATGAGCTTCACAAAAAGCACGAAAAGACATTCCAACTGATGACCCTCACATGCCAGTTAATCTAATGACAAAAGGTACCTTTGGAATTGGATTGTCGATTTTTTCTTTGCCTGCAATGCTTCAGCTAGTTCAATTTCTAAAGCAAGTACTCTTTCTAAAGCGTTGCCGCCGCCTGAGATCTCATTGAACAAAGGAAATTTGCTGCCCAGTTCTTCATTTGCCTGAGACAAGGGGAAAAATGAAAGTGTGAGTTCGATTAGTCGAAACAGGCTTCTTAGGAAGATGAAGGATGCAAAGAAGTACCTTATCTAATCGCATTAATTCCCTCTGCAATTCTGGAAACTTTGGATCAGCAAAATGATCATCTTGAGAAAGAAGCCAATTCTCATTTTTCATCTTTTCCAACTGCAAGACAAGGAAAAGAATTGGATCGGCAACAACCAGAATCATAGTGTTTGTTAGCTGATATGTCCACAAGAACATCTTTGCGGGCCAAATATTCAGAGCGTATCACCTACCTCTTTGCTTAAATTGTCCATGCTTGACTTTAAAACTTGTACTTTGAATTGATCATGAAGGAGATCAAGATCCTTTCTGTCACTGTGCAAAGCATTATCGCAATCGACTGGTGCAAGGTTTTGTATTCCATTTTCTCCTTTAGAGGTGAGAAGATCCTAAAGGAATGCGCAGAGTATTAGAGATCAACATACACACACCCCTGTGCACGCGTACACGCACAAGCACGCGGAGAGAGAGCAAGAGAGAGACCGGGGGATGATATATGATAAAAGTTCAAGCTCACAAATCAGATAGAAAAACGACATATAACCTGTTTAGATTGCATGCTCATGAGTCCACTTGCATGGGCATCTTCATGATCATGATTTGTGCATTCATCAGCTTCATCACGATTTAGTGATTTTGCAGAATGTAGAGTCCCTACAACCAGGTTATCGGGCATGCAATCCATCTGTGATTGATCAGCATCCTTCTCCAGAATCCTTGTAGGTGTTTTGGAACTCTCAAGAAGTTCCTTCACTAGTGTGAGTTCAGTGGCAATCTTAGTCTTCTCCTCGTTACATTCGAGCAAAGAAGCTTCAAGCTTTTGTTTTTCTTCTTTGCAGCACTCGAGGCTTATTAATGAGCATTCCATCTCCGCCTTCATACAGTCGAAAGCCATCGATTTCTCACGCTTCTCAGCAACTGCTGCTTGTAACTCAGACTCCAGTTCCAAGATCTTCACACCCAACTCTTCATTTTTCTTCATATTAGAAGCTTCAGATTTCTTTCTGCTTTCAACTTCGTCAACGGCATCCTGTAATTTCCAGAGCATTTCCTCGCTATGCTTCTTTGACATGGAAAGCTGTTGTTTCAGTTCTTGCAGCTTGGTTTCATACTGCTCCTTGATAAATGCAATTCTCAATGACTCTTGTACAGCATATGTTTGTCCATCAGTTTCTTTCTTTTCACGTGCCTGGAGAACCTCAGCATCAGCCTCATCTTTGAGCTCCTTCAAATGAATGGCCAAGCTTTTAAATTCTTCAGTCTTCATTACTTGTTCAGATAGCTTCTCAGTAAGCTCTTTACACTGCTTCTGCATCACAACGATTTCATCATTACATCGTTCTAGCAAAGTCAACTGAGAACTCTGTTCTTCTATCTTCCCTTCAAGCACCAGAAGTTTCACTTGCAGTTCCTCATTTACAAGCATTAACCCATCAATCTCTTCTTCAGAAAGCATCAACAGACTCTTGAGCATTTCAGCCTCGGAAGCATGCTTTCTCCTTTCCTCACGCACACTAGCATCCCAGTGTTGGTTTCTTTTTCTATATTCCTCAAGCTCTGCCGTTAGTTCATTATTGGCATCATAGAGTTTTCTATTTTGAGCAATTAAGTCTTCTAAGTTAGAGTTCAGGCAATCAAGACTTTCAGTATGCTTTCTTCTTTCCTCGCAGATGCTAGCATCCCTTGTTTCAAATCTTTTCTTATGTTCCTCAAGCTCAGCCATCAGAGCATTATTAGTCTCTCGAAGCTTCCTATACTGAGCAACCGAGGCTTCCAAGTCAGATCTTAGGGACTCAATACTGTCATCATGCTTCCTTCTTTCTTCACTAATACTAGCACCCAACATTTCATTCATCTTCCCGTGTTCCTCTAGCTCAGCTTTCAGGCCATTATTAGTACCTTCAAGTACTCTATTCTGAGCAATGGAGGCTTCCAAATCAGATTTTAGGGACTCAAGACTTTCAGCATGCTTTCTCCTTTCCTCACAAATACCAGCTTCCAACATTGCATTTGTATTCCTGTGTTCCTCAAGCTCAGCCTTCAGAATGCCAATAGTATCATGAAGCACTCTACTTTCAGCAATGCATGCTTCTAAATCAGATCTCAGGGACTCGATACTGTCAGCATGCTCCCTTCTTTCCACACAAATACTAGTTTCCCAAGATTCACTTCTTTGTCTGTGTTCTTCGGTCTCAGCCTTCAGGACATTATGAGTATCATGGAGTAATCTGTTTTGAGCAATCGAAGCATCTAAATCAGATTTCAAGGACTCAAGACTTTCAGCATGCTTCCTCCTCTCCTCGCAGATACTAGCATCCAACGTCTCATCTCTCTTCCTGTGCTCCTCGAGCTCAGTCATCAGAACCTTATTAACATCGTGCAATTCTCTGGTCTGAGCAATTGAGGCTTCTAAATCAGATCTCAGGGACTCAAGACGTGTCAACAACTTCATGCTTTCTTCGACATGATGTGCCTCATTTGCAAGACAGCAACTGAGTCTCGATTCAAGGCCAAGATTCTTCTGCTGTAACATCTCAAGGTACCTATCTGAGCACTGAAGCTGCTGGACAAAATCTTGAATCCCCATCTCATACTGAACTCTAGTGAAAATTAACTGGATATCTGCAGATATCAAGAATTCGTGCATTTCAAACAACCGATTTTCCAATTCAGCAACAGAAGAAGATTCTTCACGGGAAACTTTTAGACATTTTTCACTATGCAAGAGGAGATCACCAACTCTTGAATTCTCCAGCTCTAAATTCGAAATTAATTGCCTCAGATGGAGCAGTTCATCTCTCTGTTCGTCAAGACTAAGCAACTGGCAGTGCTTCTCATTCAATTCGGAGGTAAGATCAGATATATTGATCTCTAATTTTTCTATGTAGCTTCTCTGATTATGCAACTCCGTCTCCTGAGATTGCAAGTTTTCTCTCAATTCGGAAACCTCCAATTCCAGCTGAGAAGATGTTTCAGTTTTACTCTGTAGAGATGCCATCAAAGCATGATTTTCCTTGGTACATTCAGCTATAATCAACTTACTTTGTCCAAGTTCCTCACTTATGCTTTCTAGTGCCAGGAATTTCTGAGAAAGATCTTCATTCCTTGATATAAGCTGTTCAAGCTCAAGTTCCAACCGCCAAAGATCAGCAAGAGCTTCTTTCTGCCGCTGTTCATGTCTTTCTTCTGCTTCTGAGCTCGATCCGAGTCTGTTAGCAAGAGCCTCAACTTCTATTTGCAGCTTCTGCACCAATGAGTTTGACATGCTTAGTTTATCTAGCATAACGCGTAAGTCATGGCCAAATTTCTCTTTCACAGAGAAGATATTAGATTCAGATGTACTTAAGGAAGCTACAGCTACATTTCTTTCCGTTTCTAAAGCTTTTCTCTCTTCCATGACTTGTAAATATTTATCACGTGCACTCTGCTGAATGTCTGCCAATTTTGACACAATATTGTTTAGATACCCGGATTCAGTGTCCTGGTGGTCTGATTCTCTAAGCAGCAATTCCCCATCAAAGTTCATGTCATGACACATTAACATATCTTGCAAATTGTGGACGGTGTTCTGCAGATATTCCTTCGCAGATGCCACCTCCTCAATTTTCTGTTTGAGAGTTTGCAACTCTCCCTGCAGAGCGGCCTTTTCAGTTCTAAGTATCGCAGAATCCTCGACTTCCTTTCTCAGTTGATCTGCCAATTCAATTCTCTCTGCATCACTGGTCTCAAATTTGTGTCTATAACTTCTACATTCAGTCATCAAGGACTCCAACTCCCTAATTTTCTGTTCAAGGGAATGGTTTTCAAAGGTTATGGTCTGTAAATTTGATTCCAACATTTGATTCTGGACAGTCATTTCGTTGTACTTTAGAGAGAAAGCTTCCTTGCAATCACTTAGGGATCGAACCTCATTCATAACACTTTCCAGCTTTCGTGTCAATACATCTTTGGATTCCGTCACCAGCTCCAACTGCCTTGTGAGTTTATCTACCCTGTTCTTTGTTACTGTAATATCACTACTTGCTTCACGCAAAGTTTCCCGCAAAGTCTTGGAAAACACATCTAAATAGATTATCTCAAAATTTGCATCACAAACTTCCTCTTCAACCTTCTGGTAAAGTTCTTCCTGCAAATGCAAGGATCTTCTTAAGTCGTCTAGAAGGATATCTCCACGCACTTGTTGTTTCTTTTGCACTATAGACATATTCGGACGTTGCAAAAGCTTGGTTGCATGAACATCCCCTGGGTCCGGCTTCTGATTCTGCAAATTTTCAGTCACTCCTTGAAAGCCTTGTGGTGCGGAATCTTCGAATGCTTTCTTGATGAGATTCTCATTAGCTTCATACATGGATGAAACCTGCCCAGAGAGCAGCTCGAGATCCTTCTGCAATTGGTTGACCGCAATTGAATAATTTAACCGAGCCCTTTTGAGTGCAGCCTCTGCAGTGGCAGCTCTTCTCTCAAGCTCTTTATTAAGTAAATCTAACTCGCGCTTCTCTTCTGTAAATCTCAGCAGCTGTTCATTCATATCCTGGCGCATTCTATCCATCTCCGCATTAGCTGTAGAAACAGCGTATAAGCAAGCAGTATGCTCATTTCTAAGATTCTGCAGTTCTCCCAGCATATGCCTCTGATTTCCCTCAAGCTCCTGAACGAGAGCTTCGTAATGACATTCCATCTGGTCCATCTTCTGAGTGAGGCTCTCCCTTTCAGCTTTTGACTCGTCCAGCTCTCTTAAAAGTTCAACTATTCTGTCTTTCATTGGATCAGTGACATCAGCAGGACTGGGGTCATGAGATAGGCCCGATACGCTAAGATGATGAAGCATGCTTTCAGGTTGATACAAGTCTGTACCGAACTCAATCTGGGATACAAGTTTCTTGCTCTCATTTATACTCAAATCTCCAACCTGCTTTAGGGCACCTCCTTCTGGGGGTGCAAAGCTGATTCTAGAAACGGCCTGTCCAGTTCCTTGCTTGAGATCCTGCAGCATAACGAGCAAGGCCTCCAAGTCAGATCCCAGAAATCTGAAGTCCCTGTCATGAAGTCCCAAGCACGTCTTATTCTGAAGCTCTCTGATCTTATCCTCCATAAGAAGAAGTCCTCTAAAGCATCTAAGCTTTAGATCTTGATCCTGGTCCAATCCAACCATGTCTCTTCCAACATAAGGTGAGCTTAAGTTATCAATCTTCAGCATCTCAATTTGAGCTTTGAATTTCGAACATTCAGATTTCAGCACAGCCACCTCCCGCGCCAGATTTTCTCCAGAAGCCATCTCAGCAGCAAGCTGCTGAGCAAACTTCTGTGCTTCACCGCCTAAATTGTCAGCATGACTTTGTAAAGAGCTTACCTCTGATTTCAGTTCGTGAAGAGATGACTCGGCTGCTTCCAGGCTTCCTCTAAGTCGGTTATTTTCCTCATATGTAATTGCCAAGTCATTCTCTGCAGAATAATCTGAACCCCAGCCATGAACCCAGTCACTGGTCCCAACATGCCTCTGATCTGAAGGGTCGGCTTTTCCCGGCCGAGGGCTTTGACTGAGGGAAAGCCCACCCAAATCACCAGACACGGTACTCTTAATGCTGTCTATTTCATGTGCACTTGATGTATCATGTTTCTCTGCATATAAAGATCCTGAGGTATTTGAAGAGCCATCTAACCCAATGGGCGAATCCGCATGCTCTTCATTCAGAACCATCTCTTCTTCATTTGACAGAAGCTCTCTAGATTCATGTTTGAATCTGACCCTTGCATAGTCCTGTCATCATAAAAGATCACCGAACAAAACACTAATCAAGGAACAAAACCTTAGAAACTAATCACGATAATCTGACTAGAAGACAGGTAAAGAGGCTTTAGGAGAGAGAAAATGAATTCAGGATGCGCGGAAGCTAAATGTGTAGAATCTTCCCAACATTAGCACATTTTGCAAATAGCTACCAACAAAAACAGCAGAAGTTTTTCATCATCTTCAAGGAGGCTAAACATGGCCTAGGCCATGGTCCTATCTAAGAGGCTGCGGGTTAACAATGCACCTTTGTCGTGGTTTAAGGAACGTATATAAAAGGAAATCACCCCTATAAACACAAGCTCTAAGCGTATACAAAAGAATGTGAGCACAAATCTAGTTTAGAATAAAATCAAGACTTCTGTTATCTACAAAATAAATTTTCAATACAACAAAAGCTTAGTAAATGACATGCTAAAGAAATAAAACAAAGAGGTCATTCCTCACAGTATGCAGGACGGTATAATAAAAAAAATTGACCCTGGGATCACAGATGATCAGTGTATTATGAACATACTAATCTAATTATTACAGAGATGATAAGGCACAGCATCGAGTCCCGATTTACAGCCTCCTATGTCTCATGTTGCTGGGCTACAACTTTGTAAACTAGAATTTTATGCAAATAGTAGATGACATAAAACTTGAAACAAGTTTGATGTCCAGATATCAATCATGACGTCAAGTGAGAACCCCGAATTGATGAATCCTCAGACATGTGAACAAACATCACTTGATTTGTAGCTTATAGTCCATTCTTAAATCAATAACGATTGTTACAAGAAATCATCACTAGTTTTTCGTTCTTTTTTTAATTTTATAAGACGAAGAACTTGTCCATTATTGACTACGACCATATAATACTTTCAAGAACTTATATTATCCTACTGTGCATCAGCCGTAATTTTATACAAAACAATCAGATGAGAGTATGATTATTGGGAAATACAACCGTATATGAACCAATAGGAGACCTGTCAATATAATAAAGCTCACCGTATGTTCACTAACAATCTCTTCAGATGATGACAGTCTTCCACTAACAGATTCACTTCGACCATTTTGGTCAGAAGTAGTCAGCAGGCCCCTCTCTCTGAGCTCCCTTTGCTGTTCAAACTCTCTGAAAATTATAAAGCAGCACAAAATGGCATAAGGTGGTGGAAACAGACAAAATGCTCTAGAATTTTGTAGTGTTAAGTGAGTTACCTGAAACCAGTTTTAGAAGTAAGCAGCTGTATCGTAACCTGCATTACAAAAAATTCAGCACATAACGAGATGCACATTCTTAGAGAGAACCCTCATTAAGATCAAAATGGAGACAAAGTATTCGGTGAAACGAACATGAAATTACTTAAGGCATTCAGCATCTAAAATTAAAAAACCATTCAGAACCAGCAATACTGGAGAGCTCAGATATATCGTGACAATCCTTACATGTAATATAGCTCCAGAGTCACATCCCCGAAGAGACAGCGAAACAGAAGAAGGCTTTAGAGCATCAGCATAATCAGAAAGATTGATCGTGGCCTCACCAAGGAGGCTAGACCTCGAAGAACCCTGACGTCAAGAAATTTCAGTAAAAAGGCAAAGTTAGGCACAAGGAACACAGGACTGGAGACGCTATATCTACAAATCGCAGTATCTATAATTGGTGCATTAAATAGGTTCAGGATGGGGGAGCTTAAGGGATGAGTGGTCTTGATGACTAGAAGGTTAAGAATTTATAACACGGATGGAAACTTTACCATTGCCACAACAAGTTTGTATGGCTTTTCATCATATTGTCTTGTTCTAATGTCTTGAAGAAGCCTCGTAGTTTCATAGATGGGATCCGCCCATTTGCAGGTGCCATTTCTCACATTAGCCTTTGTTGTCTTAGCTGTTGCCTTTCCAGAATCAGCTGGAATAAATGATATAAACAATTTGTCCCATCCAGTTTGAGGAATCTGGACATGGAAAACATGATTATTTGTTACAGTCAATGCAGAAGTTACCCTCAAGCTATACATTGTTGGCATTCATTAACTGGTACTTCGTGCATCATTGAGTATAAGACAAATTGGTATATATGCACCCGCGCGCGCATGGTGCGCGTTCATACACGCGCCCGCACAGATGATCATTAAGAATGAAGCCACAAAAAATAATTCAATGTATGAACTAACAGCTCAAAATTTACATTTTCTGGTAAAATTCATAAGAAGGTCAAAATAACATCTTAAATGAAATTGAAAAACTAACGAAAGGGATGCTAACATTAGTGACTAAATTCAGGTACTGTGAAGAAACGTACATGTGTGGCATGAAATTGAAGCCTAAAGACCACTTTCGTTTTTGTCTTCTCAGGCTTCCACTTGGAGATCCTTGACATCACTGAATGATCAATCAATCATTGGCAACAAGACATTAAGGTCCAGCTTTTGTTTCCTGCCTGTAAAGCCAATGCAATATGAATTGGTCATGTTATTCTAGAAATGAGTGAATGAATTTTCATGCAAGTACAGTTAACATGAAAACCATAAATCTAAGGGCAAAGTCGATGATAAAGCACTCACTGACAAAGAAGCAATGAACTTATGTTTCCTTCTTTTACATACTCACAGTAGAATCCAAAAAAAAAAAAAAAGAAGAAGAAGAAGAAGAAGGAAAATAAGAGAGTCGTGATCTTCATCTAAAAGTTCACTGGACAGAGACTAAAGATTAGTGAACCAACTTAGGCACCCATTCAATCTACCTAAAAAATATTGCCAACTCATGATTCTTCAATTTTGGGGCTCCTATCTAATATGAATTCAACTTGTTGTCAACAGCTGTAAGTAAGAAATGGAAGGTGGGCTAGTGTACCGCAGCTTCAGGTAGGAATCAAAAGAGACAGAGAGAGCCCTAATGGAGGAGTACCAAGAGCTTAAAAGGATCTAGTGGTAAAAGTCTGCAGAACCCATTGAGGTTGAAACACATCAAGCTGGCCAAAGAATCAAAACAAATCTCACTGGTAGTGACTGAAAGTTCAAATGCAAGATAGTGAGAAGCCAGAAAAATTGGGACTTCCAGACAAGACAAATGTAAGGGGAGTGGGGTGGGTAAGAGGCTGATGAGCCACAGAGCTGCTGATTCAAACTCCAAAATGTGACATAAACCATATACAGAGCTAAATTGTGACGGAAAGAAGGCTGCCATGAGCGACGAGCTGCTGATCCAAACTCCAAAATGCAAGATGGTCAGGATGAGTTCTTCGATTCACAAAATTACATTGCAACTGGGATATAGATATACATCGAATAACTAAGCTCAAAACAGTAAAAAGAACAGGCGAAGGAACATCACACGACCAAAAGCATAGCGACTTACTAACAAACTACCCAGTGAGATTCCAAAATGCACGCATTCAACCAAAAAACAAAAACGGCAAGATATTCAAATTATGTAAAATGCAGAAATTGGCAGCTCAGATCAAAGATAAAGATGACCTCCTCTCACTCAACCAAGCAGCGAAGACTCCCACATTTGACGAGATCGACGAATCTAGAAGCTCCAAGTCCAAGAAGATTCGAAACGAAAGGAAGCAGAGACCAAAGCAGAAGGAGAAAGAGAAGCTGAATCAGGCTCATACCTTGAATGAGGAGGCCGAGATCTTTACACCAAGCGCCAAAAGAGCCTGGATTTATAATTTAATCGCCCAGTGCTCAAGCAGAAGATTACCGGATCCGAACAGTATAGCCCGAAGCTCAGTTTTAACTTAGATTTTCACCTCCGAAGACGACAAAGCCAGAGACCCACTAAAGCAAAAAGGTTCAACAACCCGAGAGGTTCGAAGAAACGAATGCTCTTAACTCCGCAGCGCACTAGGACCCCAAGAGGCTGACACAGAGCAGAGAAGGGAAAAGCAAGATATAAAAACAAGACAAGAAAGACCTTATGTTTCCGACCAAATGTCGCAAAGCAAAGACGAACCCAGATGAAAATGCACGGGGGGCAAGAAGATAAAATGGAGGTCGGAGGCTGTTTTTCTTCTCTCTCTTTTTATTCCCCTTTCCTTTCTTAACCCCTCTGCAAAGGAATTCAGGGGCAACCCAAAAAAGAGGAAAAAGCGAGGAATTTGAAAAACCCAGCAATAATTGGACGCTCAACTCTTACGCCTCCGCAAGAAGACGCCAAAGATGGGGAAATGATAAAATAAAAAAAAATGATTCACCAGATTGGACAGCGGAATTGTCCGTGAGCTGGGAGGAGAGAACAGAGCGCATCAACAAAATTCAAAATAAATCTCGGAGAAACTTCGTTTAACTGCTGAGAGTATATTAAAGTTTTGTATTAATGTGGGTTGGAAACAAGAAAAGGCGAAAAAGGATGGACAAGAAAACGCTGGGGGTGGTTAGGTAGTACCTAGTGCTGGATCTGCAGCTGCTTAAGTTGAAAGGAAGAGCAAAGACAAGGGTATCTTTGAAACGAAGGGTTCTTGAAAACAGAGAGACAGACAGAGAGAGAGATTTCAGGGAGTGTGTGTGCGCAAGATTTTCTTTGTTTTTTTGGTTTTCCGGATCTTGCGAGGATTGTGGGTGGAGGGAGCGACCCACAAACCCTCATTGATTAGCAATGCTAATCGCGATTAAGGTTTGGTGATTAGTGAGGTGTGTGGGGGATTGGGAGGTGAGACATCAGCTTCCGGAGCTTTGAGGTTTCTTGATTATTACTAGATAATATTATAATTAATTAATTAGGGACAGGAAGGAGATGAGGAAAAGGGACGTCCCGCCAAAGCCAAAGCTTGCTGCCGCGACCACCTAAGCTGCTTAGCTTAAACACCATGCTTTGGTGGGGGTGGAATTACGTTTTTGCCCCCCCCCCCCAACCCTCCCTCTCTCTCTCTCTCTCTCTCTCTCGCCTTTGACTTTGACTGCATTTATGTGATTTGGTGAGCTGGGAGTCAGAGATTATGCAGAGATGGTTTCGATCTGTCATCAACTGCCACTTTAAAATACGGCAGAACTTCCGCATTATTACTACTAACAATGTGGTTACAACCTACATAGTACAAACAGTTAATGATAAGGGTATGGTACCGTTAAAAATCCCAAATTGATATCCTTCGAGGAGACATTTTACCTCAAATTTCAAGCCGATTTCAAAATAGTATCACCGCTGTTCATTTTACCCTGAATTAATTTTCGTTTCTTGAAATATCCCAAATCAATGCCCCTAATCCAAATTCGCCGTTGGCTAGCATTCCGCCTAATATCCCACTAGTACCACAACGTGTCGATAAACATGGCAAGCGACTGCAGCATGTATTGGCAAGTATGCATTTTTAACGGGATATTTGACGGAATGCTAATGGAGGGTGCATCTGGGTCAGGAGGAGAATCAATGTAAGCTTTTTTTTAAGAAAAGAAAATTAATCTAGGGTAAATATGCAATTGGTATATCGGTTTGTGATTTTTCATTTCACGATAATTAATTTGAGAGAAATGTTTTAGGGCATACCAATTTGAAATTTTTAATGACAATTAACCCTATTAATGAATATGGGTTTTTAACCCAGATATCAATATTCAAATAAGTTAATCATGTTCTGCTGACTATACTCCAATAATTGCCTTGTCTCATTCCACCTCGTATTTTTGCGGCTCTTTATCCGCTTTTCCCGTTTCTTTTCTTCTTCTCTTTTCTAATTGTTGGGGTTGACGAGTTGCCAAGTTGGACGACATCTTACTGCTAGGTGCATGTGATGTCAACATTTGATGGGAAAATTCGCCATATTAGCATTATAGAGAAAAAAAAAATTGGACATCATATATGTTTAGACAATGTGACCAATATAATTTAATGCATCAGTTATTCTATTTATGATTTATCCATTATTTCTGTCGGTCATAAAGATACACTTAGGCTCGTTACTTTGACTTGAAAAACAATAAAATCTATATATCTGATGGATGGTACGAATAATTTACAACATTTATAAGTTTTCCATATCGATGTACATTTAGTCTCACAAAAAAATTGAGCAAGAGACAGAGAGCTTCCGAAACTCGATGGAGGCCGGAACATTTGTAATAGACATATCAATATAATCGCGAATAATAAACTAATGGAATATTACGAACTGGATGCATAAAATTGATACGTTGGACAATAAGGGTTACGGCGTGGTTCTCTCGATCAAGAAAATCTTCAATATGTAAACTTTACTGCTACATCAATACAGAGTGAAATTCTAATCTACGTATGGGCGGTCTCCCTTTTTATCTTGCATTTTTTTTAGTAATTACATCAATACAAATTGAAGTTTTTCACACGTGAGTGCCCCCGACGGTGGAATTCGTATGCCGCCGGCGAGGGATGGTACTCTAACTAAAAGATTTGTAGCTGTCACGTACTGAAATTCTTACTCGTGATGTAAAATTGTTGGTGGGAAATATAGGAAATCTGGCAAAAGTCTTCTTACATGATAAAAGGAAACCCGTACTCCATGCAAAGAGTAATTGACGGGGTACGACCCAAAAGGAAAAAAAAACAAACAAATCGACGGGGGACCAAGGGCACTTCTGTAATTGAGCATTTGCCACCTCGGTCGGCTTGCTCATTTCGGCCCGCTCGGTCGGAGGATTCATCATCTCTCCCTTTTTCCGTCTAGACCGGGGAAAATCGTACAGATGGCCCATGGACTTTGGTATGATCAACTTTTAATTTATTTAATATGGTTTTCAAACTTTAACCAAATGTATAATGCAGTCCCTGAACTTTTAATTTATTCAATATGATTCGTGAACTTTTTGGACATGTTCAATTTAGTCGTTAAACTGTAAAAAAATGCTCAATGTGATCCTTGACTTTGAATTAATGGAAGGACAATATTAGATATTTTCATATAATTCGAGACCGCATTGAATATGTACCAGAAGTCCATGAATTACATTAAATAAATTAAAAGTTCATGAATTACATTGTATATCGGATTCATGAATCATTTATATCATTATCCCTCTGAATTATGTCGGACTGCGCGAATCCACGAATGTGGACCACTGAAACGGGTCATGGTTTCGCCCCCCGGATGGACCCATCGCACATGGGGTTCGTTCTGGTGGAGTCCCGGGCAAGATCACTTTCGAAACGGTGCGCGACCTGGCATCATCATTCGTCACGAGGTCGACAGCCAAGCGACCGGGGGCCCTTTAATCACGTGGACGATCCCCTCCAGTCACGTGCGCCTCACACGTGGGAGGGCATCGAGGAAGTAAGTACGTGGCCTTTTCGCTTCGGAAAAAAAGCATGTGTCCCCGTGAAGATCGGCATTTAACTATAAAATTATGAGTTTATGATGAGTGAACAGAAAGAGGAGGTGGGTCTCATCGCATTAGCAAAAGGCGATTTTGACATCGCACGAGATCTCCGGGGTCCTACTAATTTCCAACTAAACCTATTTTGTCTAGAAAGCCATTAAAAAAAGTAGCAATAATTAAATTGTGTTATAGGATTAGTAAATTGCGACACTACTTTCTATCATTGCTAGAGATCTTCCCATTGTAAAGTTCAATAACCATGGCATCATAGGATTGCCGGATTTCGTCAAAATAATCATATTTGTAAAGCGAAAAGGGACATTTTGATTGATATTTAAGGAGTCAATGCATTATAGATGTTTTATATCGAGCGTTGTTACTATAGTATTACTTTTAATCGTCCGTGTTAAATGGCCCGGCGTTATCGGCACGTAGCGCCAGATCATGATCCATATGCGCATGTATCGTGCTGCACATTTGTTGCGTGTATCGATTGAGGTATTTATTGATACGAGCCGAGTCGACGTGCGATATAATCGATGGCATTGAAAGAATTGATCGGTTAATATCAATTTCAATAATTAATTGGTATATCAGCAAGTGTCGCATGTAATGAAGTTGTCAATGGCACACGGTCGCCTCGATTTGGCACAATGTCTTCAATTGTGCGTACATCTATAACGTCACAGGGCGCAATCACGTCTATGCTACTCGACTCTAGTTGAGGAGGGAAGAGTAATATCACATGTTTGATATAAAACGATGAGTTTAAATGTATCGTGGATGAGTTTTGAAGTTCGAGCTATTTATAACAAGAGATGCGATTATTAAGATTGTGATTGACATTTGACCATAACAAAATCTTCGAACTTTGGAGAAAAGAAAAGGCAAAATTCTCAAGTTTAGTATACTTGATACCTAATTCTTATTTACAAAGGATAATAACATAAATAATCCTTGAATTTTGACTAAGTGTGTAATATCGTCCTTAAATTTTTAATTTATTTAATGCAGTCCCTGAACTTTAGTCTAATGTACAATATCGTCCATGAACTTTTAATTTGTTCAACGTGGTCATTGAACTTTTGATAAATATTTAAACGAGTTCCTAAACTATATGAAAATATCCAATATCATCCTTCCACTAATTCAAGTTTAGGGACAACATTGAACATTTTCATATAGTCTAAAGATTAAATTGAACTTGTACCAAAAGTTCAAAAATCATATCGTACAAATTAAAAGTTCAATGACGACATTGCGCATTAAACTAAAGTTCAGGGACAGCACTGAACAAATTAAAAGTTTAGAGACAACTTTGCAAATTGGACTAAAGTTCATGAATCATTTATGTCATTTTCCCTATTTACAAAAGTGCTCATTTTCACAATTTCTTTTTATGACTAAAGGGGCGGGGGTGCTCATTTCCCAATTGTCTCAATTAGGGAGAAGCAAAAGGGAAGGGTTCAAACCGTAAAATCAAACCAAGTTAAATCGTTTTTTGCAATTTTTAGGTTTAAGAGTACATTGTCGAGAAAGAAAACAAGAAGAAGAAGAAAACAATTCGCAAACCAAACCATTTTTGGCAATTTAATTAGGTAGAGCTGATCATTTTGCGCGGTGCTCCAATATAATTATGACTTATGAGTTTTAGCTCCTCTCTCAAACAAAGTGGAAATAGTTAAAGCTATATGCTTGTCGATTACGCTATAAGTATTAGAACAATATTCAAGAAAAATAAACGCTAAACTCTATGACAAAAAGATCGGATCCTCTCGAACACTTACCTCGAATTTTCATTTCATGACATATATATCACATATAAACTATTTATAGCTCAACCATTCACATATTTTTCACGTGGGTATGTCATGATTACAGAAAAAATAGACCGAGTGAATTTATCTCCTCTAAATTGAGGAAATCTCAATCTTTGTACAAACTAGGGAGAGAATGCAAAATTGTTACTGTTAATGATTAATTTAATGTTAAGTGGAAAGACATATTTTGCTCTAACCACAATCTTTAGAGCAATTCCAGCGACATACTATTTGTCATGCTTAAGTTCGAACCTGCTAATTT